GTGTGTGTGTGTGTGTGTGTGTGTGTGTGTTTTGAGAGAAGGGCTGGGATTTTCAGGTAGGGAAAGCAGAAATGCACATCTCTGAAGGTGGACACAAAATTTGTAGGTAGCACCATGCAGCATATTTTCAGCTTTCACCATATACCAAAATACCCCAGCACATACTCCAGGCCAAATCCACAGAATAAGCCAATCCTGAAGAGCCATGCCTGGAAACCTACACTTTCCTTTCCCAGTGTCCTAAACCTAATCCCACCACTCACTGTCTTCGCTGGTTAAAAGCTTTTCATTCACTAAAGGCTGTTGTTAAGTGGACTCAATTTTCTCCTCTGTAAACAAAGTAATTTCAGCCGGAAGAGTAATGCTGCTGATCAAGGAAGGCTGGGGCCTAAGACTAGGAGACACAAAGTCTAGATCCTGGTCGAGGTCTCACTCTGCCCTCAGTTTGCATTAACTGAGCACCCAGGAGTCGGAAGGGAAACTATATCCCTGCCCTCCTGGAACTTCCAGTCCAATCAGGGAGGCGATGAAGAGTACAAACTCCTATTTTGCAGCTGGAGTTACAAATGCACTTAAGCTTATGGATATTAAGAAAATGCCAAGGAGAGGCCCTCCCCGGGCTATGAAGCTATCAGAAGCCACTACAGCACGAGTCTGATTCTGGCCAGGGGGTGGCCCACGTGGAGTGGCAGATCTCTCCTGATGCCTCACTGCTTCCCCAAAATGGTGATTCAGTAGATCTGCCTGTTCTGCTCCCCACTCCGTGTCTGGTGAATATCTTCACTTCCCCCTCAAACCTCTGGCCAGTACTCTAGTAGGACGGAAGGAAGGAGGGAGGGCCGGAGGGAAAAAGGGCCAAGGAGGTCTTCAGCCACCTCACTGAACAAAGTTCATTAAAATTGGAATAATAATTCTTTTTTAACCTAGTGTATGATGCTCTGAGGACTCAAAGGCAAAGCTCCCAGAAAAGTGAAGAGGACAGTTGAAAGTAGGAAGGATCAGTGAGAGAATGGTGCCAATCAGCACATTTTAAAATGTGCTTTATTCAACTGTGCTGTAGGGAGAGCAGAGAGTTAAAAGGCTACTACTGCAGGAGCCAGTTCAAGGAAAAGAAAAAAAACTGCTTGAGCCAAAGCAGAGGGGAATCTCGAGAAAATTCCAAAGGAAAAATCACGAAAAGTGACATTTTGACCCAGCACTCTCTCTTCACCCGCCATCAGCAAACGCGGCCACTCGCGTCTTCCCCTAGGTCACAGTCCGAGCAACCGGACCCCTGAAATGCAGGGCAAGGTCCTGACTGTCGGGCACAAGGGCTGGTGCCCCCTGGCGGCCATCAGTGGACACCGAGCGCGAGGGCGGGGCAGGCAGAGGGAAAGCGGTAAGAGGGGGTGTGGTCTTCTCGCGGGAACTGATGGCGTCATGGAAGCGACGGGCCCGGAAGGAAGTAGCGTGCTGAGGGGTGTGGCGGTTTCTGCGGTTGCACGGGGGTTCGGAGGAGTACGGAGCGCCTGGAGGGACAGCCTGGTACGCGGCCCCCGCCCCTTACTGCGTTCGCTGGGCCTCGTTGGGCCTTACTGCAGCTTGGTGTTGGAGCTGAGTAGCCTCTCCCTCGGCCCGGCCACTCCGGGGACGAGGAAGCAATGTTTCTGTCCCGTTCCTTCCCCGCGAGTCTTAAGCCCTCTATTCAGAGAACTTGGGGCGCGAGACCCTCTCTCGGAAGAAGGCTGGGAAGGGGCGCGAGGTAGGGTGCAAGTAACCGGTGGAGCAAAGGGGGTTGGCAGAAATGACGCCACTGCAGATCGGTAGCTGGATGTCACCTCGGTAAAACGAACACCTCTCGTGTCTGCGCCCTAATTGTATTAGATCCATGCCCTGCGCTGGTGAACCAAGGCACATCGCCTGTGACCTTTGTCATCAGTTACCGTGGCGTGTACAGATCATTAAGTTTTAAGGAAATAAGTCTCTAGATAATAAGCCTTCTTCCACATGGTTGCTGGACGCATTTGGACCGGGAATCCAGCATCTCCCAGCTGGGGGGATCCCCTATCTCCTCTAACCACTTGGGGTGGGCACTGCTAGGTGCAGTGTGCCAGTCGAGTATATGAAGTGTGCCTCAGTCTTGTTCAAAGCCTCTGTAGAGCCGAGGAAAAACTGGGAAGTTAGAGGAAAGTCGTGAGAATCCCACTCTCATGGACCCTCTGACGCACGGTACAAGTCCCACACTTTCATTTCTGCTGGCATGGTGGTATGGTGGCTCTAGCATCTGAAAGGAGTACATAATGGTTTTCTTTGAAATACAGGCAATTAGAACTGGAAGGCTCTGACCAGAATTACATAGCCACAACTGCCTGTCATTTAACATCCTCTGTAATTTAGGCCAACTTCTGCAGCTGCCTCTCTCCCCGTTTAGTAGTATGAGTGGCTCCAGTGACAGCACATTCGTATTCCCAGGAAGAGAAAGCTGTGTTCTGAGCCATGCCAGGTGGGCACTGATTCTCCCTTGGGCCACGGCTGCATCTGGAGCCGCTGCCTCTTCAACAAGGTGGGAGAGTGTTCCACAGTTAAGGACTGGGCATGTTGACTGAGAACAGGATGAAGAGTGTTGTGGATCTCGCCTCCTGTCCATACAACAGACTAGATAGGAGCCGCGTTCAGGGAGTTCACCTGTCAGAGACTGTCTTAGCCATAGCTTTCTCCTGCATGCCAGGCCACACATGTTTTCCCTTTTTTTTTCCCCTAGGATAAAGGTGTCCTGATGGCTCAGTTGGGAGCAGTTGTGGCTGTGGCTGCCAGTTTTTTCTGTGCCTCTCTCTTCTCATCTGTGCACAAGATAGAAGAGGGACATATTGGGGTATATTACAGGTAAGGCAGAGACAGGGAGAAGCTTGCAACTTTCCCTTAAGTGACTCTCTTTCCTAGCCACTGTCTTAATATTCTGCTGAATATCTGTGTTTATATTTTGTTGGATAGGAGAACCTCTTAGATTACATTTCTGTCTGTGACCATAGGGAGAAAAGTGTGTGTGTGTGTGTGTGTGTGTGTGTGTGTTTACACACAATGCTTTTATATATACACACACATATAAATTTAAATACAAAATACAGCATTCTAAGTTGATCCCATGGATGGCGCTGATAAATGTATATAGATTTAGAGACAAAAACCAAGAGCAAACCAGTGCTCTTCGCAGATCATCCCTAAAATACTGTGTTCTCCTGCTTCCCTCTGGGCATCTTGGTGCCAAAAGGCTACCTCTGATGAGTACTGATAGCTTGCTCTGTTAATTTTCTGAAATTAACCTTTCAGGAAAAAATGAAAGTGCCTGCAGATTGATTTATAACGCTGAAGACAAGCCCTAGGATAGTGGTTCTTAGACTAAGAACCATTATGTCACCTCTTATTTTATTTTGTTATGTATCTTCTGTTTCATAATGGAAGGCAAAGAAGCACTTATAAATCTTGGGTTACTTTCTTTCCTTTTAGTAACTTAATTAACCAAGTTTTTGCTTTCAGTCTTTATGAACCCTTTCATGTGCCCTGTGATATTTATTTCTGGATTGCCAAGTTCTAAAACTCTGATGAAGTAACCTTCTAATTATTTCTCCTTTTAATTATTTCTCCCCATTATCTGCTTATATTCCCTGAAATAGGATTTTGATGTTATTACTTACGTGCAGCTTGATTACAAAGGTAACTCTACTGCCAAAAATATATATTAGAATGATTTATAAAATGCCCTTAAAATTATTCTTCGGGTTGTTCATGTCAATGGACTCTAGCATTAGTGCGGTTAATTGATTATTACTGGATTTAACTGCCCTAATGGATTGCCACAAGTACAACGGATATGACAAAATAAAACAGACTTCCTCTCAAGTACAGCCAGGAATTCTGCTCTTTATTCCACTTAGCCTGTGAGCCTAATTTTCTTGCTACAAAAGCATGAATAATGTTTTCAGTGTTACCAACAGGCTCAATGGACTGTTAGAGTCAAAACAAACTGAAGGGATCTGTGGCCATGACACTGGCATCTATCATTCTATATCAAACATTTATGGACCTGAAGAGAAAGTTGGGCCACATAATATTGATCTAATAGATTCTGCTTGCTGAGCTGAACCCATTTCTCTCTCTACAGAGGCGGTGCCCTGCTGACTTCCACTAGTGGCCCTGGTTTCCATCTCATGCTCCCATTCATCACATCGTATAAGTCTGTGCAGGTATACATGGCTTGCGTGGCATGGTTGGATGACTGCAGACTTGGGGTGTTGACTAATGCTTGATTTGGAATTTTTTTGCTATTGGATGAATATAGCATCTTTTCAGAAAAAGGTGTTGGATTTAACACCTTTAAATCATTTAATGATAATGTGTGTGTGTGTATGTGTCTACATATGGATGTAGAAATACAAATATATACACACATACACAGAATGAGGCTCCGTGACCATTTATTCTGGAGCTTTGCTTGACTGTTGAAATAGCTGAATGGAATCATTGCGTTGGCCTATAAACCCAAGCTGGGATTTATTTCATTATTTCAAAACATAATCAGAGAAGTATCTTTTCTGAATGTATCAAAGGAAAAATAAAGTGTGTATGTCTGTGTTTTAAATTATAGGCTACCATATAGATGGAAATTAAACATGGTGATTTCCTCATTCTTATTTGAACTTCAAGAGATATAAACATAATTTTTGAAAGTAAGGAGGAAAGTTGAACTGGCAAGGGAAAATGACATCTAAAATAGTACTAGGATTAGGTAAAACAAATCTAAAATCTAATTAAGTCTGAAGTAGGAGGCAAGGGGTGGTGCAAGGGTAAAAGTGCAGCTCTGTGAAGCCATCCACAGCCACTGCAGCACGAGTTTGATCCTTTGCCAGGGAAGTGACCCACATGGTGCGTCAGATCTCTCCTGTCTCGCCTGCTGCTCCCCTCAGCATTGTATTTCAGTACATCTGCCTGTTCTTCTCCCCACTCTTTCTTTAGGGAGTCCTCACTCCCTGCACCTCTGGCCAATACAGTTCTTGTATGCATGAATAAATAAATCTTTTTTAAAAAGTTTGAAAGAGGTTCAACTAAAAATAATAGGTAATTTAACTGACTGCGAAATATCCTAGGACACCCCATATGCATTTTTTCCCTGTAAATTTCTTCTGCCATTTACTGCCCTTGATGGTTTTCAAAATGCATTCATGCGCATTATCTCATTTGAGTCTCACCATTATTTCGAGAATGGACTGAGCCATACTGCAGACTGAGATAGCTTAAATGGATCTCCTGTTTCAAGGCTGTAAGTGGAAGAGGTGGAACTAAACACAGATTGTAGTACTTCTAGCCCAGGTTATTTTCTCGAAACCATTGTTACTCATCTGGTTCATATATATGGTGCTTCACTTACAGTGAAGCAGGAATAGGTACCTTTGGGTGGTTTAACTTCATAGACTATAAGCAAGGAGTATTCAGAGGGGAATTCATGTTTAGCACAGGTCAGCCCCAAAAGGTATAACCAGAGAGGGCCACTTAAGATTCCAAAATTAAGTTGTGTTGTTTGTCACTTTCCATCTTACTACATTTTATGTTTCCTCTATTCCAGACTACACTGCAGACCGATGAGGTGAAGAATGTGCCTTGTGGGACTAGGTAAGGTTGCCCAAAATAACACTGTTCATCCCAGGTAAGAGGAAGGGCTAACTCTAAAAGACAGTGAAAAGAGAGACCCCTTCTTGATATTATCATGTCTCCTGCCCCCTAAGTCCCTCTGTTCTGTTTTAAATAGGTGATGTAGTACAGTATAGAGAGGCAGAGTGGGTGGTCAGGGCATCTGGGAGGGCCTGGAATGCCACAGTAAGAAGCTGTGACTTTTCCACTAAGTGAAAATGACATGAGAGGGGAAGGTAACTATAGCACTGCTCACTGTAGAGAATGACTTAAAGGTCCTTTGGGGCAGAGATCCAAAGAGAGCGCTTCTATAGTGGTTGGGTTGACACATCAAAGGTTCTAAACTGGGATAGAGTAACAAGATGCACGACACCAAAAGGAAACAACCAGGCAAACCCAGAATGGGCATCCCGCAGGATACCTGACCTGACCTTGTCCCTCAGTCACTGTACTTGGAGGGATAGTTAGTTGGAAAAAAGACTGAAAAGACATCAATAAATGCAATGGTGATCCTTAACTAGAACCTGGTTTCAAAATAACAGCTAGAAATGACATTAGAGGATGACTTAAATAGCAGAAATTTATTTTCTCACAGCTCTAGAAACCCATGGCACCAGCAGGGTTGGTTTTGATAAAATCTCTCTTCCTGGCTTGCAGACAACCTGTGTGTGACCTCACTTGGCATTCCCTCATGCATGCTGGAGAAAGAAAGGGAATTCCAGTGTCTTTTCCTTTTTTACTGGATGGATCCATTCTACAATTACTTCATTTATGACCTCATTTTAACTTCTAACTTTGTCCTTAAAGTCCTTGTCTCTAAATAGAGTAGGGGACAGAGTTTCAACGGATAGATTTGAGAGGGCATACAATTCTTTCTATAACAGGAACTGATGGGAACATTTGAGTAAGGCCTTAGTGTCAGGTGTTAAGGGTTTGTTGCTACTTTTCCTAGACTCAAGAATGGTCTTCTGACTCCTTAGAAACATGTCATTGTTCTTAGGGATAAAGTATCCCTAAAGTATTAAGGGTAAAGTATCAACTTGCAACATACTTGCAAATGTGCAACAATATGAAAAGTGGGCCCATTGAGGTAAAATGTTAACAAATATTAAATGTAAATGTTAGCATATGAGTATTGTCTTATTCTTCCAGCTTATCTGCATTTGAAATTTCTTCATAATGACTATTTTGGGGAAAGAGAAGTGCTGAGCTAAAGTAATAGAAGCTGGGCCCTCCTTGGTGGCACAGTGGGTGGCACCCTGGCCAGGGAGGTGACCCACATGGCGCAGCAGACCCTTGTCTCACCCACTGCTTCCCTCAGCAGTGTACTTCATCAGTCGGCCTGTTCTGCCTCCTCTCTCTATTTCTGGTGAATCCGCTCATCGCCCCTGCACTTCTGTACCAAAGATCTGTATACATAAATAAATAAATCTTTTTTTAAAAATAAAGTAATAGAAGGCAAAGTGAGAAAGATTAACCATAACATTCCTTAGTGACCTTTTCTAGTTCTGAGGACTTCTTGACCTTACTTAGTCTTGTCCTGCAATTGATCCAAAGGCATTGCCACTTCAAATGACATGTTGTAATCTTCTTACTAGTACCCCAAAAGTCTCACTACATTTTTTGTGGAGCTGTTTTTTTCAGGAGATTGTATTCTTGCTGTAAGCTCTGAAGATCGCCTGTGTGAGATCTGGGATGCCTTCTAACCTCTCTTCACCCTTGAATTCCTTTTCTGCCAAGTCACACATCTTATGCTACCACCTACGAGACAACACTATTCTGAGCTTACTAGTGACTACTTTGTCTGTTCTTTCTCCAATAGTGGTGGTGTGATGATCTACTTTGACAGAATTGAAGTGGTGAACTTCCTGGTTCCAAATGCAGGTATGATTTTCTATAGTTTGCCCTCAGGTAAGCTACCGGCTTGCTACTGAGCATCTTATCTCTGCACCTCCGGGAGGATGCTGGGTCAAGAAAGGTTTAGTCCCACCTTTCTCATTCAGACTATCCCCATCCCTCCCAGTGTATGATATCGTGAAGAATTACACTGCTGACTACGATAAGGCACTCATCTTCAACAAGATCCACCATGAGCTGAACCAGTTCTGCAGTGTACATACACTTCAAGAGGTCTACATTGAGCTGTTCGGTAAGGAAGTCTCTTCTGACCACAGCATGACTTAGCAGCCTCCCCCTACGTAGCTACCTACTAGGTAGGATGGGTACCTATGGACGGGACATTTTAAGGAATCCAAGGCTCAGGAACTGAACACAAAGAAAATTTCTAGAAAATGTTGATGACAATGAAAGAAGATCATCAGCGTGGTTGCGCTTTGGGCACAGAAGTACCAGTGGGTCAGAGGACTCACTTCTGAACGGAATCAGAGGGCTGGAGTGGAAATGTGTTCCCACTGCCCCTGAGACATAATTCAGTGAAGACAAGCTCAGTTCTAGAAGAACTTTAGAGCTCATCCAGTCCAAAAATCCTCATTTGAAGATAAGGGTGCAGAGGCCCAAAGAGAGTCACAGAGCTGGTCGGAAGTAAAGCTGAAGCGAGTATACCCTTGCCTGGCTCTCACTTCGCTGTACTCCCGCCAGGAAGGGCACCCGGGCATAAGTGGTGTTTCCTTTTAGAAGTGGGGCAAGGGCCATAGCTACACACAGCTTCTATACTTACATGAGATTTGTTTATTACCCTGGACCTGTAGCAATGAAGTGGAAAACCCTTAAAACAAAAAGAATCCTCATACTGAAGTAGACACTTTTTGTCCTTTTCACCTGGTCAAAGTAAACATAACTGACAGCAAAGGAAAATAAAGTTAGTTATTGTTACAGCTCCTTTGTGGCAAAATGTTCTGTTCAAACTTGCTGCTAGAAGTTTTCTGGTAGCCAATGCTAAAAGTAAGTGAAAATCTCAACCAGTAATACAACTATTTTGATACTAGGACAGATGGTGACTTTTCCCAGGAATCTTCATTAAAAGACCCTAAGTTGAGAATGTTTTTTGGAGCAGACAGAAGAAGGAATCAGTGATGTTGACAGTGATCTTAATTAAGCAAACAGTCTGTCACACTGTGTATAAAATTTGGGAAGTGACCAGAATCACTTTAAAGTTTTCTGCCATAGAAACTAAAACCAAATTTCTTTGATGGATGGAGTTTAAATTCAATATGGTGTTAAGAAAAAATTGGTGAATTTGCTACTATATTTTTACCTCAAACATAAAATTTTTCAAATATCAATTCTGTTATAGCCATTGTTCTAGGACTTATGCCATTACATGAACATTTGAAGCAAAAGACAAAGGAGCTCTGATTCTCATGATTTAAAAATTAATATATAAAATTGTTTTGCATTAGAAAATTTCTTGCTATCTTAGAGAAACTTGGTAACTTAGTAAATTATAGTTTCTTGTACAGAGGAGCTAGGAAAATGTATTTGCTTTGAAACTTTTTTTCTTGTTACATTACAGTGCAGTCTTGCTGGCAAGCACTATTTTGCTTAGAATCTATTTGCATCCATAAAGAAGAAACTCCTGTCTCTGATCCTGTTCTTGTAGAATTTTTTTCCCCTCATTCCTTCCTCTAAGGATAATGTGACTCTCCATATCTCTGATGCATCCTCTTTGTTCATTTTATTAAAAAGATTATTAAATACTTGTTCAGAAGTATAACTGAAAAACCTCACTGTAGTTACTTAGCAGTATAATTAAATCAGCATTTATCAGCATTACCGTAGTATAAACAAATGGTTGCCAGTGTTACTGAACTGCCTTGTAGAATATTTCTTCCAGATGTTCCCACTAAGTGATTAGCCTGGAGCCACAGATTTCCACCTTGACTCACATGTAATTGGATCTGATAAATAAATATGTCATTATTCACTTACAGAGGCAACAGGTCATCTCACTTGAAGTTTGGTTGGTACCTTATTTACGTTGATAATATGAAATGCAATGTTTAGCTCTTGCTGTCAAATTGTTAGATTCATAGAAGATGGGAAGTGATACCTTTATGGGTATTTTTCCCTCAGTGCAAGAAACTTGTGAAAGTATATCCAGTATGTAAAAACATTAAAATTCCTCTCACATTGAATGATTATTGTTTTAAAAGCCTAACAATCATAGCATAGAGGTGAAACAAGTCCCTTATTTGGCTGCTAACTAGGCCACCACTGAACCTCTGGATTGGGCATCTATAAAAGGCAGGACGTAGGTGTTCCCAACTTCACCGAGAATGGCCACTTAAAGTGCATGGAGGGTCCTTGGAGGCTCTTACTGAGGATTTTGTAGGCTGGGGTTAGGGAAGAAGCCCTGAAACCCTGAGGAAGCTGAGCCAGAGAAGGCACCTCAGTTCTACTGGTGTGTTATCATGGGGGAGGGGAGCAGTCAGTCTAGTTCTTCATATGTCAGTGCAGCCACTCACATGTGAACTCCACTCAAAGGAATCAGGACCACAGCAAGTAACACATCAAAAGACTTGTGCTCATATCCAGCACCATAAATTTTCATTTTTTCCCTTGTGCTATTTGATAAAGTTCCTAATGGAAATAGTCTCCTTGGGACTTTCCTTGACATCAGAGTCTGGTTCTGTTTTAGAAACTTCTAAAGTTACTAGATAAATGTGCTCAGCTCTGCAGAATAACAGCCATTCCACTGTCCTTGATGAAAACTAAGAGCCTGTCTTCTCTTCCGCCTCTCTTGTCCAGGGAGCAACCCCTCTGAGTCAAGTAATACGCTAGAATTGTTCTTTGATTTTTTTTTAAATCTCCCTTTCCTTTGGGGTGGGTTGATATTTTCAGCAATCTATGTGATTTTATTTCAGGCCACAGGACAGGGACGGTCTCATATCTGCCTGAATAAGCTGCATCAGGGTCCACTCCCACATCTTGTAGGAAATCTGTAGATTCACGGGCGCTGAGGCGTACATTGCCTCCGAAGACCTGTGACTTTCTTATTGAGTACACTGTCAGGTGTATGCTTGAACTGCTGTTTTAGCTTGTTCTCTACCACCATACTTCCCTCCACCCTGCCTAAAAAATAAAAGAGCTCCTTTTTCCTTTTCATGATTCCAGATCAGATTGATGAGAATCTCAAGCTGGCTTTGCAACAGGACCTGACCTCCATGGCCCCAGGGCTTGTCATCCAAGTAAGCATTTCCATGGTGTGCCCTCTCCCCCTTCCCCGAGGTGCACCTCCTCTTCGGAGGAATGTTGTTTTGTTCAGGAAAATCAAGGGCCAGTGGGAGCTGCCTCTGTCCCTCACCAGTCTCGCCTTCCCATCAGGTGCTATTTTTATCCTTCTCCAGGCTGTGCGGGTGACAAAGCCCAATATTCCTGAGGCGATCCGCAGAAACTATGAGCTGATGTGAGTAGCCCCTCTGCCTCACCATTTCTTTCTGCCACCTCACCCATCCCATAGTCAACTGAAGCAGTGGCAGGTTGTTATTCTCCTTTGGAGTATTTGGTACAGCCCAGTGCATTGTAAGATGGAGCAGGCATGTCAGGACAGTCACCTGGGCTCCATAACTGACTGAGAGCCAAGGTTGAAGCCCTTTTGAGCAGTGATGTTTTTATTTTAAAAGGGCCAGACGCCTTGTTTGTGTTTCATGGTTCATGCCAAAGTCGGTACGAAGGACAGATGATTAAGTGGGCAGGCAGGTTCATTTTGCTAAAGTAAATTATGCTTTATTCCCTACAAATGCATTACTTGGGAAGAGAAGGAGAGCCATGTTACCGTCTGCAACAGATAAGCTTCTCCCTGGGATGTTGAACAGCTTTCCAGGAGGGAGTAAGAAATCACAGTTTGCCTGTCCTTGGCAGGAGTGCTTGGCTCTGCCAGGGGACAGAGACTGTTCCTCAAGAGCTTTTCCACAACAGCCTCACATTTGCATGCTTTTTTCACTTCAGGGAAAGCGAAAAGACAAAACTTCTCATTGCAGCCCAGAAACAGAAGGTGGTGGAGAAGGAGGCTGAGACAGAGCGGAAGAAAGCCCTCATTGGTCTGAGCATGGTTCTGGGATCCCCCTTTGGGGCAGAAGGGCTGGGGACAATGGGAAGACTCCAGGAAACTTCAGAAAGCTTAGACCACATGATCCTCCAAACTTTTGCCCCACCCAGGCATGGCATTAATACTCCTGGAGGCAAAGCCAATGTGGTCAGATCGGGTGGAAAGATCAGGAGTTTTAAGTTTCCAGATCTCTTAGATAAAAGGAGCTTTCCCTATAAATTCTGAATTCACAGTAATAATAACTAACACTGTGAGCCATTTTCTAAGAACTTATATGTGAATTATTTCATTTGTTACAACTACCAGGTGGTATAGACAATCATTAACCTCGTTTTATTGAACTAACGCACAGAGGTTATGTACCCAATGCTATGGCAAATAAGTGGGGGAACAAGATTCAAATCCAGGGACTCTGGGGGCTCACACAGGGTTAAAGTGCAGCACTATGAAGCTATTCACAGCCACTGCAGCATGAGTTCCATCCCTGGGAGGTGACCCACTACAGACCTCTCCTGTCTCACCTGCTGCAGTGCATTTCAGTTGATCTGCCTGTTCTGCTCCCCAATCTGTCCTTGGGGAATCCTTTCATCCCCCGCACCTCTGGCCTACACCTCAGTTCTTGTATATATAAATAAATAAATCTTTAAAAAAATAAAAATCCTGGGACTGCGTTCCAGAACCCGGGTAGTTAGCCACTATACTAGATTATCAGCAGCAAACCTAACTACTTACTAAAGTGACCCAAGTAAAGTTTTTAGCTTATCTTACACCTTAAATTTCCTTTGGAAGCAGTACTGTTGTGACTTAGGGGAGAGGTTGGAGTTGGTTCTCACTTTCATCAGAGAAATAACTCTCCTCCCTTGGATCCTCTCTGCTGGCACAGTTCTGTGTACGCTGATACCTTCCAGCTCTGCCTGTCATGGCCACCCTCTTCAGCCCATGGCTCTCCAGAGCTTACCATTAATGCATCAGGGAGTCAGATAAGGTAAAAGGTGGAATTTAGTCAAGCTTGCAAACTGATCAGAGCTCTAAACCTTTTCTCGATTTCATTACTATAGAGGCAGAAAAAGTGGCTCAGGTTGCAGAAATCACCTATGGGCAAAAAGTAATGGAGAAGGAGACTGAGAAGAAGATTTCAGAAATTGAAGGTGAGCAGAAATGAAGTCAATGCCTAAGTTTACCTCAGACCTCCCCTTTGATTAGAGAGTGGGAGAGTCACTTCCTCTGTTCTAAGATGACAGGATTTTGGGAGGACGTTGCCTTTTCTCTGAGCTTTAACTCAAGTTTTGAGGATATTTTAGCCAGGCTAGCATCAGTTTTCTTTTCAGAGAACTTTCAATCATTCATTCAATAAATGTTTGTAAGTACCATATGTGCTAGGCATCTTGTGAAGCATAAGAGAAAGGGAATTATATCCTCCTTGCTGACTTAGCGCTCAGACTAGCTGTGGAAGTAAGCTAGGAAGCCAGGACAAACTGCAGCTCTCTCTCCTCAAGCCTAACCTACCCCTCCTCAGAAGTCAGGAAATACCACAGCCTTGACCTCATATCTGCTCAAAGGGTCCCTGTAGATACAACTGGAAAGCACCGTTTTCTTCAGTGGCTTTTAGAATATAATTCACCTTCAATTCCCTGCTCTCAGCTGGCATTTTGTCACTACCACCCACCTTTCCTTCATGTGGTGCCTTAGGTCAGACAAATTGTAATTACATTTTTTTAATTGAGGAAGTATAAACTTACAACATTGTATGTGATTGAGTGGCATAGGGCTATACCTCCTCAGATGCGTATCCTCACACTACACCCATTATCAAAAAAAAAAATCTTAATGGAACTTCAGGGCCCAGCTTCAGGATATAAAGTGTTCTGCCCAGTTATTATGGAGCCAGTCAGGCTTTACAGGGACCCATTGAGTTAAAATTCTAAAACCTAATTAGGATTTGACAGATCAGTGGCACCTCGTTAGGGAGCCCTTAGCAAAACAGCATTTTTATTTCTTATAAATACTTGTCATCAGGCACTAAGGCTAGTTGAGTTGGCCACATGGCAGCCAGAACCCCAGCCAGGCTACAGACTCCCCACACCCAGAGTCTTAACTGAGGGTCTGCGCTAAGAGCCCACCCACAGACTGACCTTTCTTCCCAGCCTTTTCACTACAAATAGTACTCACATGAGGCTGGACTCACTTCCCAGGCAAGGGAGTAAATATCACAAATTTTGCTTCAGCTTGACAGAAAGCTAGTCTCAGCAGATTAAGGGCGCATATTGTTTGCATAACAGAAGTTTAAATAGGTCTTGATCCAAACAGGTGTTAGTCTGGACCATGGCATGTAATTCTTGTAGAGTCGTGTCCATTTAACCACTGCTAATTAGAACCTTTAGACTTCATGTTTGCGTTTTATGTTTATGGTCATTTGGTTTTAGGGTTGATTTGCGTTGGCTGTACTTAGAGCCTTCTTGGGCTTCTCTTGTTTTTGCTGTGTAACACAAGAGCACTAAGGTCGAAAGCTCAGAAAGTGGGGTTTGAGACAGGGTCACTACCCTCTTCCCAAAGCAGGAGTCTGTGGGCAGCAGTGCTTTTCTCTCAGGCGCTGTCACAGAAGAGGTTGTCGGGCACAGCAGCATTTGCCCATCACTAGTCCCAGGCAGAGGGAGATTCTTTCAAAGCACTTTCTCATCTTGGTTGATTTTCAGTGAGAAAACCAAAGCACAGAGTAAAAAGAGCAGCCTCCTCAAGGTCACAAACACAGAAAAGCAGGTGAGAGGAAGCTCAGGAGAGCCATAGGGAGTGGACACAGTCACCTGCTAGCCTTGCACTTCTGCCTGCGCACGGTGGGTTTACACTTCATTCATTGCCTCTTCCCCCAGATGCGGCGTTTCTGGCCCGGGAGAAGGCAAAGGCTGATGCCGAATGCTATACTGCCATGAAAATTGCAGAAGCAAATAAGGTAAAACCTCGGTTCCTGTCTTCCCCAGTTACTTCTCTTCACAAAGATCAGAGGTCTCATCTGGCTCTACCTGAGTTGTCTTTACTTTTCTCCTTGCAGCTGAAGCTGACCCCAGAATACCTGCAGCTGATGAAGTACAAGGCCATTGCTTCCAACAGCAAGATTTACTTTGGCAAAGACATCCCTAACATGTTCATGGACTCTGCAGGCAGTCTGGGCAAGCAGTTTGAGGGGCTGTCTGACAAACTGAGTTTTGGCTTAGAAGATGAGCCCTTAGTGGCAGACACTGAGGAGAATTGAAAAGAAGTTTTATACAACCACAGACGACACTTAAAGAGATTTTATTTTTTAATGATGAGCCAGGATGCCCCTCCCTCCTGCAGTACCTTCTTTGACTCTCTTCCACATAACTGTGGTGGGAAAAAAGGAAAATGCACTTAGATCTATTCCCTTGCCTGGGAAGGGAGGGCAGGGATTGATGATTTGGAATTTTTTTCAGGTAAGTAGGTTATATGACTTCTGTTGTGATTTGTAAACCATGGGTTTGATCTTTGACCTCCAGACACTCACTTTAGCCCTTTGAAACTGGCTTAATTAGGGATGTTGTCCTTAAGGAGTGGGAGAAATATAGGGTGTTGCTTTAGGTGATTGGATTTCCCTGATTTGGGAAAATGTGGTCCAGTGTTCTCCCCCTTGTCTCCAAGGTGGGAGATGCCTGTAAGTCTCAGCAGCTGAGCAAATAATGTGCTCGTAAGTTTGCCAGTAGAGCTGTGGAGAAACAGCTGTTTGGCTTTCCTGGCGTTTTTGTCAGTGTATATGTGAGTTGTTTTAGGGCATACTTGAGCCCTTATAGGAAGAACTGGTGCTAGGTTTTGCCAGCTTTTCTATATGATACCCTCCTTGTCTTGGGCCTAAAGAGTGGTGGTTTCTGACTACATTTCTGGAGTCAGGGTTCAGTCACCATGGCATAACTCTTTTTAAAACTTTTCACTGATTTTGCGATTTGGTTTTTTTCTCTTAATTTGCTCATTGGTTCCACTCAGCACCAAGAAGACAGGAACAAACAACTCAAGTGTCTTAAGCTGCTAAAGTGGGTTGATTGTATCTGCTAACCACTGCAGTAACTGCTTGGCAAACTATATTCCTTGAGATCAAGTCTTTTTTGTTGTGGATATTCTACATCGAAGAGCCCCTCTGGAGAAGCAGGAAGGGTCATCCAGCAGATTCCCACGTCGGGCATCTGCTGGGAGTTTGTCTGACTTAGTGGTCAAAGGGAGGCCATTCTTTCCATAGAATGCATTATTAAATCCAGGGACCCTGGTGGCCACACAGGGGTCAACTGTTAAGTCTCCAAAGGGGTGGGTGGTACATGTCAGAGGGCACAACCCACCAGAGTCCCTGCATCAAAATTCATTTGAATGTTTTTCATACTGATTAGGAAAATGTTGGTGGATTTGGGGTGGATCACAGCATACATGAAAGAAAGGTTTCCTATTTCTGAAAACAGAGTTGGGGACGGGGGAGCAGCTATATGGCTCATGAGTTTGTACCAAACTGTTAAGTGGAAGGCAGCTCTCTGGCTTCACCTGCAAGCATTTGGTGTCCTGTGTGGCAATTTCTGGCCTAAGATTTGACCTTCTTATTTACTTTCCTTCCCACTCCTCAACTCCCAATACCCCTCTTCCCCCAATGAAACTATGAATGATACTTTCTGGCAAAGATCCCCACCTCACTTTTGGCCCCATGGCCAGACTTCTGGTTTATCGAATGGCTCCAAATGTGGGGCCATTTTGCTTCCAAGTAGTGCCAGGCTTGTTGGGAGTGTGGGAAACATTTAACCTGCCTAGGAAGAAACAAAGTATGAACTCTCAATTCAGACTTAACCATTCTCTGTCTTAATTCCTGAGATCTAGAATTCTCAAACCACTGATCCTTGTCACGCTGTGTGTGGGTAGCCAGATGTTCCTGGAGTGATGGCTCCTAGTGGACTCAAATCCCTGCAGAAGGTAGCTGGTCTCCCTGGCGCAGCACAGAGCACCCAGTGTTAGCATACACTCACCCCCTCCCATTTCAGAGCCATTAGTCACTTATTAGTAGCAACATGAGTTGTCTGGCTTCCCGATTTGCATATTTGCCTGTACCCTCTATTCTCAGACTTGCCTAGGTTCAGAAAGCTCTACTTGATAATTGAACAAGGAGCAGGGATATCATAGCTCTGAAAGGCGTGATTGCTCAGGTTCTTAAAAGTCTCTCCAATACTAACAGCCCGAGACAGATTGTCCCTAGCCCTAGATACACTTTGACCACAAAAGAGCCTCAGTAGAGTGATGTCCTGCTGCACCTGCCCCTGTGATGTTAGTGCCATTTCCTCTTTAAAACAAAAAGTGTCAATACCATAATGCCCACTAGTTGGAATTCCCATAGTTGTCTGTGCCTGGCTGAGTAGTGAAATCAGGAAGCTGTTTCCTTAGCAAGGGACAACTAATCTATCTTTGAGACTTTGTTTAACACTTTCCAGAAAATCTGATCTTAAAACATTTGAACTCGAAGCATGTCAAATGTGACAGCCTACAATTTTGTAGGCAGTAAGTCGTGGCTGCTATTTATAAATGGAACTTCTATCAAAATGAGTAACTTCATAAAATTAAGTTTTTATAGGGTTTTCCAAGGAAAAGTCACCTTGGTTGGATATTTCTCACTCATTAAACTTTGCAGAAGTGATTCATAATAGGTACTGTTTTTAATCACTTTTTAAATATAAGAATAGACTGTTTGCAAGGAAGCCAAAGTGTGTTAATCTTTTATATGACTAAGATAAATTTAAAGAGATCTGTGATCAAATTAAGTTGAGGGAGGAAAAGAAATCACTGAAAGAATTTTTGTAATATATTGATCAACAAGAGTAGATGTTTTATAAATTATCTGTTGCAAAGTCTTATCTGTAGCAATGCCTTTTGACACTGATAACTACCATTTATAGAGTATGTAGTGAAAGTAAGAGCATTATATTTACTGACTTTAAGCTTTATTGAGACTCAAGGCTACTCTGTGAACTTAGTCACTACTTCTTTAGTTCTATTCACTGATTCTCATCACTGTTTTCTATTGTTTCCTCCTAAAAGAGGTCTTAGTCAATCATTTCGTGTTTGTATTTCAGTTCCTTTTCATTTCTGCTTTTCTGTAAACTGGTGATTAAATAGTCACACTAACTCTGCTTTCAAAGAGCCCCAAGGACTTTATAACTGAGGCCCTTTGTAACTGAGAAATGATGCTTGTTATTAATGATTACAAGTGATATGCTAGTTTAATTGCCTGAGGTTGGTAACTGTAGGAATTGTTGCAGACAACTGAAAAGAAATTTTGTCTTAGTTTTATTTTCAGTCTTGCTAAATAAAATGAGTTTTTGTATTACCTTTTTATGAAAGTGAAATTTAGCAATCACTAATAATATGTAAAGAAATGAAACATCCCAGCCTAGTGACTTGAATACAAGTCAGTAAAAATATATTCAAATCACCATCTAAACCCATTATCAATGTAGAAACAATAAACTGATTTGTGAGCATCACATGGTAGTAAGTGCTGTAGACAGAATGTAGCTGCTGATGAACCCAAGTCCGCTGAATTCTGCTCCAAAGGCAGCCGTACTTGCAGCTGATCCCAAATTCATTTTTTTGAAGATTTATTTATGTATGCATACAAGAACTGGGGTGTAGTCCAGAGGTGTAGGAGAGTGAAGTCATTAGAAACAGTGGGGAGCAGCACAGGCCGATCTACTAAAATACGCTACTGAGGGGGGCAGTGAGTAAGACATTAGAGGTCTGCTGCACCATGTGGGCCACCTCCGGGGTGGGGATCTGGCTCAAGACATCACAGAGATAGCACTGAGACTTAATCTATGCCAGGAAGACCCCCAAATTCTTTTTTTTTTTAAAGATTTATTTATTTGTGCATACAGAACTGGGGTGCAGGCCAGAGACACAGGGGTGGTGAGAGGCTTCACCGGAGACAGAGTGGGGAGCAGAACAGGCAGATCGATGAAGTACACTGCTGAGGGGAGCAGCGAGCGGGTCAGGAGAGGTCTGCCACGCCATGTGGTCACCTCTGGGGCAGGCGGGAATCGAACTCATGCGGAAGCGGCTTTAGATTCTCAGTGCTGTGCTTTAACACGCTGCGCCACCAGGGAGGGCCCCAGATTCATTTTTATATCAATTTGGTAGAAAAGTCCCAGTCTCTACTCAAAAGCAGCCCAGCCATGTAAAATACAGGATACAGTTTCATATACACAGTAACTTTTAGCATTAATGTGTCCCCCATTATTGCACAGGACACAATTTTACTTATGAACTATTTGCTAGCTATACGTGATTTGCCCATTTAACTGGGTATATGGACTGTATTTTATTTGCTAAAGCTGGCAACCCTAGCCCAGGCTCTCTCAGGTTTGTAATGGTGCTCCCAAACTCTCTTTTGGTATAAGAGCTTACTACCCAAAAAATAATAATCCCTGTTCCCACTTCCTAGGTGCATGGTATTGAATAAAAGTTTTAAGCTCTCAAAGCCTCAGTTTCTTGATCTATAAAATGGATTGAGTGAATTAAGTGACATAACATTTGTGACAGGGTAAGCACTGTGCCTAGTAGCCCTTGGAAGTCATTCAGCTATAACTACTTCCATTTATCTAGCAAAACAGGCTGGAAAGCTCGCAACTATTAAGTAGGTGCCACTAAGTGGAAAGTCAAACAAATGTGATAACAGAGTAAGATACAGTAGAATAGCACTGTAGAAAGAAAACTGCGCTGCAACACACCAGACTATTTAGAAACCACCTCCACAGAAATGCATACAGAGAACAAGCTGGTTTGGCCCAGAACAAGCCGGTCCTTTAGAGGAATTGCCAGGTGCAGGGCTGCAATTCAGAAGACCTGAGGAGGCTAGAAAGGATACAAAATGTTAAAACCAAAAGAAAAACAGCTCATGGTTCACCCCAGAAAAGGCAGGAAAGAAATTCAACCACTTCACAGTTATATAAGCTACATCATGGTTGGCTAGGTATTCTCCAAGTTACTCAGAGACCAAAGGAGAGGACATTGCCTGCAGGCTAGAGTATTTTAAAAGATTTTACTTAAGATTGGCTAAAATTTAAAATAAGGAGAAGTTGTTATCGGCAAATAGAAAATACAGGGATTAGTATGAATAACATTTTCGCCTTTGATGGTCTTCAGAAATTGGGGAAATTCAGTGCTGTTGGAAATGACATATAGAATGTCATTCTCTATGAATGTTCAAATAATCTTGATGGATGGATAGATGGACTGGCGGATAGACACACACAAAGACCTCCTCAGGTCCAGAGTTCTAGAATCTACACTTGCATTTCAAAAGCCACTGTTGGCTCAATGGCTGCTGTCTTGGCTCCTCTGCCAGGTTAAACTTCAGCGTGGACATTGTTATTCTTCTTCAAAGTCAAGTAGGCAACAGTAATTTTCTATTTTTTTCTGCTCCACCAAAAGAATCACAATGAGTTTTGCAGGAAACAATTTATAATCTATCAATGTTTTTCTCATAATTCAGGGCCTTAGACTAAATCTGGGTTTTTGACTTTTTTTTTTTTAAAGATTTATTTATTTGTGCATACAGAACTGGGGTACAGGCCAGAGGCTCAGGGGCGGTGAGAGGCTTCACCAGAGACAGAGTGGGGAGCAGAACAGGCAGATCGACGAAGTACACTGCTGAGAGGAGCAGCGGGCGGGCCAGGAGAGGTCTGCCACGCCATGTGGACCTCCCCGGGGCAGGCGGGAATCGAACTCATGCGGAAGCGGCTTTAGATTCTCAGTGCTGTGCTTTAACCCGCTGCGCCACCAGGGAGGGCCGGTTTTTGACTTTTTTAATCCTCCTCTTTTCTTCTTTCTCCTTGCAACTATTTGAGCAACTTTGAAGATAGTTACTGGTGATTTTGGACCTGCATTTTTCAAGTACAAAGTAGCAGGGAGGGATGAGAGGTTAAATTGGACAGTTGAGCTCCTAGGAAGAGGAAAAAACTAAAGGAGGAAAATAATGGAGTGGCATTAAGTCAAAAGCACAGTAAGAAATTGGGAAATGTGAAATGATAAGGGGAAGGGTCAGCATGTTACATTGTACACATTTGTTCTCATAAAGCTGTGGAATAGCAGAAATGGGGTACATCTAGGAATGAAGCCCCAGCAAAGCCTATCTTATTCTTGCTCTTCCCCAATGCACTTTTGCAGAGAAACTCCTCTAAATTGGGCTAATGGCTAAGGCATTGAGCAAGGGCACTAGCATTCACTGAAAATCTACACTTGCTTTAGGGGAGCACTCTGCGAAGTGTATGTGTTATCTTGATTAAATCCTCCTGCAACACTGAAGAAGATACTCGCATAAATGAAAAACTGAGATGGTCATTAACATTCAGGTTTACAGTTTGATAAGTCTTGATAAGACCAAGACTCGGATTTTATCAGTTTCATGCCTACACTATCATTTATCAGTTTCATGCCTACACTATCATTAATTAATCAGAAAATCCTGATCCCTTTTCTGATGCCTTTTTTGGAACCACACACATGTACACCATGGCAGGGAAAGGTCACCTTTAATTCAGAAAACTGACCTACCAAAGGAAGATGCTCCTACTTGTTTGTTCTGAAGGGATAGGGAAAAAAATTCCCTTCTTAAAGGTTCTTTGGTCTAATGATTAACTTGACATATTAACAGGAGAAAGTTTAATTTCCTAAGTATGAGAGCCCCTAAATGTGAGATTACAAAAGTGACCAAAGCAGGACCCGTATAAACTTTGTAAACAAAGACATGATAAATTTGTGAGGAGTTATGAGGACAAACAAGCTGAGGCTTGGAGTAGTAAATTAGTGAAAAGGTTTGTTTATACAGCCTTTTCTGCCCCAAATACCCCATCTGTTATAATAAGTATATTACTATTCTCTTATTATACTTACTATACTTAGTCTCCACACAACGGGGAGAATATCTTTCACAAGGGTGATTAATCATGCTTCCAGGGAGACAGGATCTGAATGTACTTCTTCCTCAAGTACCTTTAATTGAAAAATACTTTACCAAAGTGGCATATTTCAGAATGGCATATTCTGTTCCACTTCAGTTCCATTCTGTTCTCACATGAATTATACATCCTTAGCTGCAAGGAGTATTTATGGTTTTTAAAATAGATTCCAAATAGCATATCACCTTAAGTAATGTCATGGTCACCCAAACCTTCCGCTATATTCCTCCTCTTCATGATCTCCATCATACATATCCTTCTTGTTTCTCCCACTTCTGGTTACTGGATAGCACCTGCCAGCTCCTATATTTTTAGAGCAAATACTATTCACACCATGAAGTACTATTCTAGTCATTTTTATTTTTATCACTGTCTAAGAGTGGAAATCCAGCTCAGAGCTGTTTTACTTGAACACAATTACTGCTAATGCCTAGCAACCCTGTTTACAGATAAACCAGTTTTTTGTACCAGGGTAAATGAGGGCTTTTCCATAAGAAGTCCTTGATGGTGAGGACCCAAGTTCTACTCAAAGTGATTTCTGAGAATAGGACACGTGGAATTAATTCCATTTCATTTCCTGGGAAGTGACAGTGTGGAAAGACTTTCTTTCCAAAAGGTTAGAAATTCAGTGACCCCCTCCCCCAAGCCTGGAGAACAAATTTGTGCCCGTTCTCCAACATACCATCCCACTTGATCAAGTTACTGTGTGAAAAGCAACAATTCCAGCCAAAAATATTTCCCTTAGCAAAAGTATCTTCTACTTGCTCACATCAAGTAGACTATTAAATTTAGCATTTTACCATTGTTGACCCTTGTATTGCTTGACTCCATCTGTGTATGCCCATCATACTTCCCAGCGCCCGACACAGAGGGGACTCAAGAATTGCACTCATGTATGCTGAACTCCTCAGACTGTCTAAGCTGCCAATGCCCTCCTCCAGGCAGGAGGTGGTAACTGACTACAGAAATGAGGAAACCTGATTTGAGACAAGCTATGAGTCAAAACTATACATAAGTTGTGGAGATTTATGTACAATAAAAAAGAAGATATTCCATTTAAAGTGATTCTATTGGTTATACGTTGAAGTGTTTGGATATATTGTGTTATGTAAAATGTATCATTAAAAGTTTGTACAAAGAGGAAATGTAAATGGCAAACAAACATATGAGAAAATGTTCAATATCACTTGTAATAAGGGAGATGCCAATTAAAACCACAATGAGATACCACCTCACCCCAGTGAGAATGGCACATCTTCTAATGACTAGCAACAACAAATGTTGGCGAGGATGTGGAGAAAAAGGAACTCTCCTGCACTGCTGGTGGGAATGCAAACTAGTACAACCACTATGGAAAACTGTTTGGGGGTTCCTCAAACTGCTTAACATGGAGCTTCCTTAGGACCCAGCAATCCCACTCCTAGGTATCTACCCAAAAGACACAAAAACACTGATTCAAAGAGACACCTGCACCACCATGTTTATTGCTGCTTTATTTGCAATAAGAAAAACATGGAGTCAATGCAAATGCCCAAAAGTAGATGACTGGATTAAAAAGATGTGGTACATACACACAATGGAATTAAAAAAGATAAACACTCAGCAATTAAAAAAGATAAACACATGCCTTTTGCAGTAACAAAAGGATGAAGTTGGAAGGGATCATGCTTAGTGAAATAAGCCAGAAAGAAAAAAGAAAAATACTGGATGGTTTCACTCATAGCAGGAGTATGAAGGACCAGGGGAGAAAATAATAATAACAATGAACAACTATATACCAGAGACATTTTACAGGGGTAGAGTGGGGAATGGAATAAAAAATGGAGGACAGGGGAAGTGCACTGGACTATGGTGACGGCACACAGGTGATTTGGTGATGGGAAGCCCACGGGGATTACAACTGAGATGGAAAAATGCACAAAATGATGTAAAAATAAACATATTTTTAAAAATATCTCCAAATTGGAGCCCCCACCCTAAACCAACTTTATCAGAATAGCAAGGAATGTGGTATGGCATCGTGTTTTTAAAAGTTCCTCAGAAGATTATAATGTATAGCTATAGTTAAGAATAATGACAATATTAGAAAAAATACGTATATCAGGAATAAAGAGAAAGGGGGCATAAAGGAAATTGAGAAAGAGGCATAAAAACCTGTAATTGTGCTTATCCTTCTCCATCTTGTTCCTATTAGTTTGTCATGGGAACTTGTCTCAGTCAGAGTGGCCCAGATCAATCACTACAGATAGATGTTTCAATCCTGTGCCATGGGCAGGACAGTCAGCATCAACAAGTGTGGGCACAGCCAGGGTAGACCCCTTCCCACCAGATTCAGAAAAGTTTGGGGAAACTAGGGGCTCATTTAGGCCACTTAGAATATTACTCAGCAACCAAAAAAAAGAAACACATGCCTTTTGCAGCAACATGGATGGAACTGGAAAAGATCATGCTTAGTGAAATAAGACAGAAAGAAAAGGAAAAATACCGGATGGTTTCTCTCATAGCAGGAATATAACGGAACAGGCGAGAAAATAATAATAATGAACAGTTATATACCAGAGACATTTTGTGGGGGTGGAGTGGGGAATGGGATCAAAAACAGTGGGGGGGGGAGTGAAACGCACTGGACTATGGTGATGGCACATGGGTGATTTGGTGATGGGAAGTCCAAGGGAGTTGCAACTGAGATGGGAAAATGCACAAAAATATGTAAAAATAAACTATTATAAAATTTTTTTAAGTTTGTACAAACAAAATAAAAATATAAAAGAGAAGGGGAAAAGCAGTTTGTTTACTTTTTATGTCCCTATTGGAAATTTCTTAATTACATGAGACTCGAATCTTTTTATTGGACAGCACTACAGGGTGACAAGATAAAAGCAAATATATATATGAATCTTGCTGTGTTGGTTAGAACGAGCTGTTTGATCTTTAGTGGTTCCTAAAAGAATCGATTGAGTTCAAAGGCTAAGACTCTTGCTCTGGCATCTTCTATACCTAGTTCCAGGACACACAAATCTTTGTGCCCAGCTGGTTGAACAAGGATAAGCAAACTGATGTGGCACTTTAAAAGTGAAGAGGCCCCAGGAAACAGATCGCGGTTCTTTGCGTCAGACAGGTCCCTCGGCGGGGTCAGCGGGACACCGTGGGGGACTGGGTGCACAGAAGAAGGTTCACGCTTCGCGCTAAACAGAGCCAGCGGGGCCGCGGCACCCAGAGACCACCCAGGCTTTTCGCGGCGACCTCTCCAAGATGGCTTCCCCGAGGGGCGGGGACTCTCACGACTTGCTGGGTCCCGCCCCCCCGCGCGCCGATTGGGTGCGACAATTCGGTGATGAGCTCTGAGTGGGCCACACAGAGTCGTGACTGGGCGGGACCGGAAGGTGGTGTCGGCTGGGGGTTGCTGGGGTTTGGGGCTCTGCATTTGGTCCCCAGGGGATGTGGAGAGCTGGCAGCATGTCTGCAGAGCTGGGCGTCGGGGTCGCTCTGCGGGCAGTGAACGAGCGCGTGCAGCAGGCGGTGGCGCGGCGGCCGCGGGTGAGGAAGGGGATTCCGTGGGGACGGTGGGCGGCCACTCTCAGGAGGGGGACACCTGCGTGGGAATGGGTCGTCACGATGACGCACTAGGGTCTCCCGAAGGGGCGGGACCCAGCCGCCGCCTCGGTGTTGGCGCGATTGTAGATGCCCCCAGAGACTAGTGAACGTGTTCCCCAGGTCGGTGTCCGGTTCTCTGGAGGTCGACCCCGTCCGAGCAGAAGCTATCCGCTTCCCGGGGAAACTGACCAGTGTCCAAGTCCCGCGGCGGTGTCGCATCCCGCTTCGTGTGTTAAGGGTCTTCCCACACTACGGAAACACCAGGCTTGTGCCCAGCGACTACAAGAGAGGACGTCAATTATCAGAGCCCCAAAGGGAGCCGTAGCTGCCAGAGATCAGGTGTATGGCAGTGCCCACCAGCTAGAAAATGGTCAGTAAATGTCAGTTCCACCCCTGGGCAAAGGAGAGGATGGATTGGCTAACCTTTGGAGGCCTCAGAAGTACACTTGCGTGCCACAAGGCAGCTGATGCCCCCAGCCCAGCAGTTTAAGGAGTGATTTTTCTCTACTTATAGCCTTATAAGTATTTTATGAATATATTTCATTAAGCCAAAAGTCAGTGTCTGCCCCTTCTTTGTGCAGTTGTTAACTGAATGGTGTGGAGTGAGACAGACCTGAACGGAGAGGTCAGAAATCTCTGATCAAGTATGTATAGTGTCACAACTAGGCAATGTTGGCCTGGACATTGAAGACCCATATTATAGAGTCTTTTCTAGCTTGCTAATTATTATTATTTTAAAGATTTATTTATTTATGCATACGGAATCGGGATACAGGCCAGAGGTACAGGTGTGTGTGTGTGTGTGCGCATTTGAGAGAGACACTTCATCAGAGACAGAGTGGGGAGCAGAATAGGCAGATGGATGAAGTACACTGCTGAGGGGAGCAATGGGCAGCTGCTCAAGAGAGGTCTGCCACACCATGTGGGTCATCTCCCTGCTAGGAGCTCGAACTTGTGCTACAGTGGCGGTGATAGCTTCATAGTGCTGCGCTTTAGCCTGTTGAGCCACCAGGGAGGGCCCTCTACCCTACTAATTAGGCGAGACCTTGGACAAGTCACTTTAACTACTCTGGCCCTCAGTTTCTTCATTGTACAGGTAACAGAATGAACTCTGGTTGCTATAGCATCCTTTCTAGTATTAATATTCTGTGATTTTCCAAGAAAAACTAGGGATTCTGCTAATAAACGTCAGGCTGGGAATACCCCCTATGCAGATGAACTTCCTGTACCACCATTCTCTCTGGAAATCTAACTGTTCATCAACAATTGTAGAATGACAGCATGCTCTTATAAAAGTCTGGGAATGGCAGCACTCAGAAGAATGGAAATGTTTTTGCTACAACTGTGATTCTGTAAGAATTCCAGAGGTTGGCGAAGTTCATGAAAACTGAACTATGTTGTAAAGACAGATGGTGAATCTTTCCTCATTTTCTTTGTAGATTCGGTTACAGCAGAGAGTACCTTTACATTTTATGTAATGGCCAAGTGAGGGGTTCAGATAGGCCTAATCCTGAATCTAGAGGGGTTTATTTTTGTATCCAGATTTCAGAGCTCAGATCTGCCACTGGTTCTTGATTAGACTAAGTTAGTTACCCTAAACAAGTCATTTTTGAGAGTGGATGGGGGCAGTAATATTAATAATTACACCAGGACCAGAATTAATTTCAAAAACTGTCAACGTTGGTGTTTCAGAAGCCATAAGTAACCCCCCTGCTAGTCAGGGACCCCCTGCCCTTAATGAAATAATTTTAAAAAAGATTTATTTATTTATGCATACAGGAACTGGGGTACAGGCGGAGGTGCAGGGGTAAGAGGATTCACCAGAGACAGAGTTGGGAAGAAAACAGGTGGATCTTCTGAAATGCACTGCTAAGGGAAGCTGTGGGGAGACAGGAGAGGTCTGCTGCGCTATGTGGGTCACCTCCCTGACCAGGGCTCCAACTGAGTGCTGCAGTAATTGCAGATAGCTTCTTAGTGCTTTGCTTTAACCCACTGCGCCACCAGGGAGAGCCCATAAAGTGATTCTTAAAGCTCCAATCTTAGTAAATATGTTAATCATCTGAAAAGTTTTCAAAGAGATTCTGAAATACTAGCTCCAGAGATTCATATTCACTAGATCTGGAATGAGTTACAAATGATGCTGACACGGTTGGTCAAAGTTGGCACTTCAAGGAAATACTACCTCTATTTACCTGCCCAGCTTCCCTAAGAGAAAAATGTCTTTTGTTAGATATGAAAGTAGCTGGCATATATTAGATTTACATGTCATGCATGCAAGGGTCTTTGACATTGAGCATGAGCTCACTGCAGTATTGGAAAATGGATAGTACCAAATGCCAAGTTAAGATCTATGCTGATCTGTTGTTCTACAGGGTCTTACAAGATTTGTGGGAATAACATTCCCAAACGTTAACATATGACTCTTTCCGTTTTGTCAGGATCTCCCAGCCATCCAGCCCCGTCTAGTTGCAGTCAGCAAAACCAAGCCTGCAGACATGGTGATCGAGGCGTATGGCCATGGCCAGCGTACTTTCGGAGAGAACTATGTAAGAGCTCTTTTCCAAAGTTCCTTTGGAAGAGTCCTGAGTACAGTGCCTCTGACTTGTTCTTTTTTTACCCTTCAGGTTCAGGAACTGCTGGAAAAAGCATCAAATCCTAAAGTGAGTGGATGTCTGAATCCTTTATATCTAACTCCTGGCTCCCCAGTTGAAAATTAGATCATGTTGGTGGTTGAGTCTTAGGGCAAACGGTTAGGCTGCCAGTAGAAATGTCAACATTCACTTTAATTAAGCCCCAAAGATTTCTCAGCTAACTTTTCTTCATTAAAACTATAGTTTTCTCTTTTGTGGTTTTATGGCATGATGATTTTAGAAGCTTGCTATAATCCTGGATCCTTCTTAGATTTGAAAGTTTTAGCCGGTTCATCCTTAATGGATGTTATCTGAAAGATGGAGGCAATTGATGGGATTAAGAAACAACAGAAGTCTTAGATCTTTCTCTAAGTGTTCTTAGGAGCCAGACTGGAAATGGTGACAGTAGTTTATGGCATAGTCATGAAAGGTCAAAGAAAGGAATGTGTGAGGGTTTGAGCCAGCAAAGCCCCCATGAAGTCTGAGTAAAATATGGTTATCGTTTTCTCATCAGATTCTGTCTTTGTGTCCTGAGATCAAGTGGCACTTCATTGGCCACCTACAGAAACAAAATGTCAACAAATTGATGGGTAAGCTAAAACTCTAAATATGAAGACAAAACTCCTTTTACTACCTTCTGTGGAAGAAAACAGATTTTCGAATATTCCTAATTTACCATTTGTGTTAGATACGTTTCTTTTGGCAAATATATCTTATGTCTTAATATAAGGGGGAAAACATCACGCCAAGAATAGGATGAGTTCACAGTCGGCTGAGTGATACATACTTGGCAACCTGTCAGACCTCACATTATTTGGTGATCTCTCAAATTATAATGCATTTTGGCCCACAAAAATTTTGGATGTTGTCAAATGCTTTTACTTCATCTATTGCAAGGTTTATATGATTTTTTTTTTTAGTTTGTTAACGTGTTGAATCACATTTATTGATTTTCAAATGTTAAACCAACCCAGCATTACTGGGATTAACTCTACTTGGTCATTAAGTGTTGCCTTTTAATATGATGTTACATTTGATTTGTTAAATATGGCTTATATTTTTTGCATCTATATTCATAAGGGACATCAGAGAACAAATTGGCCTCATAGAACAAATTGGGAAGTGTTCCCTCTTAAATCTTTTTAGAAGACTTTGTGTGAAATTAACCTTATTTCTTCCTTAACTGTTGTGTCACGTCCAGCAGGGAAGCCTGGAGTTTCTCTGTGGGAAGATTTTAAAACTATAGTTTAGATTTTATTAATAGACATAGGGTTCTTCATATAATAGATTTCTTCTTGGGTAAACTTTGGGATTGTGTCTTCCAAGAAATTTTGTCCACCTCATGCAAGTTAACCGCTGCAGTTATAAGCAAACTGCCCTGCACCCCAGCAGAGAAGCTGGGGGGAAGCTCCGTCAACTCCCTAAAGGGCAAGCCTTTGTGAGCCCCCTTTAGTCCCCTGCCTGGAGCATCTGGCAGCCCCAGGAAGGCCCCGTCTTCCTGACATTCTGAAGAGACTGGGGATCCCAGCAGAAGGAGGACAGTCCCTTCACCCAGAAGCCAAACAGCCCTTCCTCCCTTCACCCCTGAAGATCTGGCCTTTCCAAGCCACTTCTGATCCTCTGATTCCTCTTGAGTTGAAGCAGACCATGCTCTTCCCAGGCACCCTATTGGAATGGCCTCTGTTTTATTTTTAGCAACATCCAAATGCCCAGCTCTTGCTTCCCTTTCCCAAGCTGCCAACTCCTAGCCACGAGAATAACTCTGTGCATGTCTATTTAAAATAAAAAAGAAGAAAAAATATAATGTTCACTAACAAGAGGAGCGGTTAAGTAAAATGTGAGATTGTGGTTACCTGTTCTGTGGAACGCTGCAGTGGATCTGTGGTATGGATAGGGGAAAATCTCCTCTGTGTCTTGTGAACTGGAAGCAATATCTATGTAATATTTAGTGTGATCTAATATATGTGTTACTAAAATAGCAGAATAACAAGAGACAATACTGAGTGTGGAGAGATTGGATGGAGACACTAAATAGATCTAGAAGAATCCTCATTCCAAAGGTGATGGTAGTAGCCCTGCAGTGAGCCTTTGATTTTTCTGTTGCATATACTTCTACATTGCTTCCATTTTTTTAAATCAAGTATGTGTACTATTTGTCACTTTTTAAGTATCTTAAGCAATTAGCCTGAGCTCAAGGTCAGTATTAAAAATATAAAATCAGTTTGCCTTAATTCAAATCATAGCTCTAGTATTTACTAATTTTATAAATTTGAATAAGCCACCCTTTCTGAGCTTATTTCCCTGTCTGTAAAATGGAGATGTTTCATGCACCTATGATAAGGATGATCAAGAAATAATATATGTGGGCTGGTTAGCATATTGCCTGGAGGGTTTCCAAGTTCAGTAGAAATAAGCTATTACTTTTGCCTTCATTGTTATGTATCTGAGCAAGATTAATATGTCATTTCACATGCAGGCGGTTTTGTTGACCTCATGTTGAATTTAGCTTTCAGTGTTTGGGTCATTCTGATATCCTTGTTGTATAAGAATATCCCCATCCCAGACATTTTATAACATCATGGTAACATGTCCAGGAAGCACTTTGGCCTCCTTGGCTATATTCTTTCTTTATTGTCATCTTGATCCGTTTTTCTCAGTTTGAACTGAGATCTAGTCAGATGTATCCTGCTATTAGGAGTTACCATAGTTATCAGCTTCTAGAAGCTTGTGAATATATATGCTGCCTGATTGTGCTGTAATAGTATTTTCTTTCCTTATTCGTCTGCGCTTTTTATTAGACAGCAAAGAGGAAGCGTCTGACACTTGATGATAATCTGATTCAAAGATGATCTGACATTGTAATGCATACCTTGTAAAACTGTCATGTGAGTCTTAGTACAGCTTCAATTAATTGTCTTTTTCTTTTCCTGGGAAACTATTTTTCCCTCTACCAAGGAAGCATTTTTTGCTGCAGTAAGGTGAGTGAAGAACTACCTTCCTGTTTCTCATTACAGCTGTCCCCAACCTCGCCATGCTGGAAACAGTGGATTCCATGAAGTTGGCAGACAAAGTGAACAGTTCATGGCAGAAAAAAGGTTCTCCTGAAAGATTAAAGGTTATGGTCCAGGTTAACACCAGTGGTGAGGAAAGTAAGTGACCATAGTTGAATTATAGCTTTTTTCCCCTTAAAGTTCACATAGCTACAATTCTAGAAAGAAATTACAGGCCTTTAGGCTATATCTATGATATAGAAGGCACAGTGACATCCACTCCAACCCACATGTTATTGTATAACACATCATGATAGTTATTTTCTAATTTTTGAGGGAATTGGACGATGGGAGTCAAGAAAGGGGATTGTGGCTTTAATCTGGAAACTCCCAAAAGTCACCATCAGTCTTGAAAGAGGTTTCAAAGTTACATGTATAATATATTCACATCTAAGACCTCCCTGATAGCACAGGGGTTAAAGTCTCAGCACTATCAAACTACTGCCAGCCACTGTGGCATGAGTTTGATCCCTGGCCAGGGAAGTGACCCTCATGACATGGCAGACCTCTCCTGTCTTGCCTGCTGCTCCCCTCAGCAGTGCATTTCAGTAGATCTATCAGTTCTGTTCCCCATTCTGTCTCTGGTGAGTCCTCTCATCCCCTTCCTATCCCCACATCCTGCACCTCTGGCCTATACTCCAGTTCTTGTATGCCTAAATAAATCTTGGAAACATTAAAATATATATAATATATATCACATCTCTAAGACTGCTTAGTATTACATTGGGAGAGAATAAGAGAAAGAGCACTGTGACACTATGAGTCAGTGAGTATCTTCAGGGGCTTGGTGTAGCAGTTTAACGCAGTGAACAGGAGCGTGGGCTTTGAGGTCAGGCAGACCCTGGCTTTAAATCCACTGTTCCCAACCCTGGGAAGTTACCTAACTTCTCTGTACCTTAGTTCCTCATTTGGTAATAATATAATAGTACCTACTTATTGAGGGTATTGTGAATTGAATGTGGTATTGTAGATCAAACTATTTTAGATGTGCCCACACATCTTATTGTTTGTTAAGAATAAATGTTTACAAGCTGGTCATTGGCTTACAATACTAGAGCACTGGTATTCAAAACTGCAACAGCCTAGAGACAGGCTCCCTGTAGTCAGATCCCAGTGCTCAGTTCCTGCTTGTGTGACCTTGGAAAACGTACTTTATCTCTCTACACCTCAGTTGCCACATCTTTAGAATGGAGACAGTAAGCACTGACACCATAGAGTATATTAAGTGAAAAGCTCTTAAGGCTTGTCATATGTGCCTGGCACAAAAATTAGTAAATTATAACACCAGTATATTTACATATAGATGATGCATTGCACTATCAATATAGTAAATCTGAAGTTAACTCTAAATCAAGTTTATCATTTTTTGATAACTAGCTATAATTTGCCCTGATTAAAAGTTGAAGTGTTTTTAAAACATCTCCTCTTGATAAGAGAAAACAATTTCAATAATCTTTATAACTTCATGACAAATAATATTTGATGCAGATTGCTCCTCTAGCTGATTGGCAGGTTCAGTGAAATTTTACAAGTACAGAGTCAAAACTATTTAATATATACTATAATTTTTATAATTCTATGTATAAATTAGCATAACGATAGAAACATCAGATTTGGCAAAATAACACTCACGCTCATCTAGCATTTCGGCAATGTAGATGAATCCTCTTGGTGTGTCCCAAGAGATAAAAGCCCTTTTTCTTCCTACTACTCTAGCTTTTCTAATCTCAGATACTAAGAGAATCACATTTTTGGCTCTTGAGAAATTCACAGCTCAGCCAGAAGGGGCACAGCATAGACAAGACCTCAAAATTAAAGTTAATTCTAGAACTTGGGGACATATTCTTTCCCAAAAAGCCCCCCTTTCCGAGAACCACTTCTATTATAAGGAAGGGATGAAAATGGAGCCTTTTTCTGGCTACTTACAACATTCTGGTGTGTCTTCTGTTTGTTTCTGTGCAGGTAAACATGGCCTTATGCCTTCAGAGACGTTAGCAGCAGTGGAACACATAAATGCCAAGTGCCCCAGCCTGGAATTTGTGGGGCTGATGACCATAGGAAGCTTTGGGCACGACCTTAGTCAAGGACCAAATCCGGACTTCCAGGTACTATGGACCAGAGCAGAAGGATTGCTCACAAGCATCTTAGTGAAATGCCATTGCAGGACTGACGGTGTAGTAAATTCAGAGGCATCCCAGATACTGCCCATTATATCCTACTTCTGAAATTTTCTCTTAAGTAAAAGAGAACAAATTGCCAAAGCCCCACAGATCTTCCTCAACTCAACTTGAACCTGGCTAACCTGGCCAAAACACAGTCTTTAGAGAAAATGATGTCTTTCTCTTCTCCAATGACTCGTAGTTTTGTTTATTTTTTGAAAGTGAGTTTGCTAAAACCTTTTTAGTTTCTGACAGCTTTCATAGGCCCTGAAACAAACAATCCTTGTCAGAGATGTCCAGATTCAGCCACTGTGAGGCATCCTTAAAAAGAAGGCAGGGGGCCCTCCCTGGTGGTGCAGCAGGTTAAAGCACAGCACTAAGAAGCTAAAGCCACTTCCGCATGAGTTCGATCCCGGCCTGCCCGGAGGTGACCCACATGGCATGGCAAACCTCTCCTGACCCGCCCGCTGCTCCCCTCAGCAGTGTACTTTGTCGATCTGCCTGTTCTGCTGCTCCCCACTCTGTCCCTGGTGAAGACTCTCACCCTCCACATCTCTGGCCTGTACTCCAGTTCTGTATGAATAAATAAATAAATCTTTAAAAAAAAAAAAAAAGAAGGCAGGAATTAGGGGCTCTCCCTGGTGGTGCAGTGGGCTAAAGCACTACATTATGAAGCTCTCCAAAGCCACTGCAGCATGAGTTCAATCCCTGGCCAGGAAGCTGACCCACATGGCTTGGCAGACCTCTCCTGACCCGCCTGCTGCTCCCCTCAGCAGTACATTTCAGTACATCTGCCTGTTCTGCTCCCCATTCTGTCTCTGGTGAAGCCTCTCACCACCCCTGCACCTCTGGCCTGTACCAGGAATTAAATAGGTGTTGACTTTGTCTTTCTATCAGGTGTTATTGTCTCTCCGGGAAGAGCTGTGTAAAAAGCTGAACATCCCTGCCGACCAAGTTGAGCTGAGCATGGGCATGTCCATGGACTTCCAGCATGCAGTGAGTGTCCTTCCAGATCCCCTTTCCTCCCTTCTGGATGCAAAAGATCACAGAAGGTGTCAGTATTTGCTGGAGAAATTTTGAAATGCCTCATTAAATCAGGGCACCAGCAGAGTGGTTCTCAACTATTCCAACTTGCCCCTCCCTCCTTCTTTTTGGAAGCGAAGTGTCTAAAAGCTATAGCCTGGCATATAATGTCTTTAACTCAGTGCAATCCCCGAAGTATGATCGATAATAAAATCAAAAACCATAATTTTTGAGTCATTCACTGTGTAAAGGTTTGGGCATAGATATATGACAGTAAGTTATGAGGTAGTCTGACATTTAATCTCATACTCATGAAGGTTACTAGGAATTGGTGATGGGTATGATGAAGTATGCATTTGAAGAGGTGCGTGGTTGAAGTCAAAACTTACACAGTGCTCCAAAGCAGTGTCCCCTCTATTTAAAATAGACATTTTATGTGTAGATTCTCTATAAATGCAACAACTGTAAATTGATGCTAATATGCATGTGCCGTACTGGCAACTCCAATACGTGATTCCTGGAACAGAAAATAATTTGGAAAAAAACAAAAAGCAAATAATATGATCAAATTCCATAATCAAATATAAAGTTCCCTCAGTATATTCAGGAGTTACAGTCATAGAAAATTTTACACATTAAAACAGTGCAAAAATGCTTTGTGTTTATAAGTAAAATGTAGTTAGATCCATGCTCTAACAATAAATTGTTTTTCATCTACCCACCCATGGTGTATTTGAAAGATGGACGAGCCAGCACAACTCCAGATTGTTCTTGCTTTTCCAGACCTCTACCATTTAGTAGTTTGACCCCCCCCCCAACTGAATGCTAGTCAGATTCCCCAACTACTATGAAAGCTAAGGAAATCCTTATTTATTCCTTAGATAATCCTCAGGAGTAGCGTTGCCCTTGAGGAAGTCCACCGCTCGCTAAGTCCTTCAGCTGTGTTTTCATCATCTGCATAGGAGACCCTTGAGAGACAGAATGAGAGACACAGCTTTAGCATATGCTGTATCTCATGGTTTTCAACTTGGTCCTTGATACTTTCTCTTCTGCCCACAGATCGAAGTCGGATCTACTAATGTTCGAATAGGAAGCACCATTTTTGGAGAGCGAGATTACTCAAAGAAACCTGGCCTGGACAAGTCCACAGCAGACCTGAAGGCTTCTGCAGAGGTGGCACAAGCACACTGAGCAGGAGCTCCCAGCTGGGCCCTGGCTGGGACTTCTAACTGTGCACTTCCCTGGGTTTTCATTCTGACGTTCCCTATGTTGCAGCACAACCACGCTCCCCTGTGACTTGGCGAGAGAGCAGTAATGATGTGTGCGTTGACACAGACCATCTGGATTAGTGTCTGGCATAGGACTCTCACATCTGGATTTAAGAAATCCAGACATTTCTGTAGAACAGATATCAAGTCAGAAGCCCGGAATTGACTTCAGTATTGAATGCAGCCTAGGAGCACCAAGCAAGCAACCCGTGAATGCCTTGCCCAGGTTAAAATTTGGTCACTGAGGCCTCTACTTACCAAAATCAGAGTTCCCATCTGTCATCCACCTACTTAGAATATGCCCTGTGGTTGCCAGCTTCACACAAGCCCCTCCAAAACCATCATCTGTGCTGTTTTGGAAGGTGTTTCTGTTCCCAGTTTCTGTCCCACCCACTGAATATTTGTCTTACTCTGCAACAGCAGCACAGGTCACTTCAGGAGCTGAAGTTAACTCAAGTTAGTGCTCCAAATCCAAATTGTTAATGAGATGTTGTGTCATTAGTCACCCTGTGGCACTGGCCCTGAAAATTACAGGGGAAAAATAAGTAGGACTTCGACCTCACTTGACAAGACTTGGAGCTGTTTTTTCTGTAGACCCTACAGTGATCAGTAGTCAGTGATGACATTTCTCCTGCCAGTACTTTCTTTGTGGTGACTTCTCATCAAGGATGTAACTCCTCAGAAATGGAAGAATGATTCAAAGCCAGTTCAGGCTTACAGTTTCAACAGATCTGGTTTTGAGGTTTGTGTTCCCAAACCTGGGCACATTATTAGCCTTCCCCAACACCTCCACAAGCTGGAATTTTGTAACTTCTTGATACTTAATAAACTAGCAAGATCCTCGAAGGCCAGAAAGCACAATTCTCATATAGTCACAGCAGATTACTTCAGTCCAAGTGTTTATTTTCTAGGTGGTTTTCCCTACTTATTCAAGCCCCAGTCTTTAATTATATGAAATAACTTTGAACATTATGCTGCTGCTGAATATAATTTTTTTTAATTTAAACCATTATGATTCCTGTACTGTTTGAATCAGAGCTATAGTTGTGATATTTCAGTGTCTATTAAATAAAAATGTGAGTTTGAATTATACCATCTGTGCCAATTACAAAGCAATTAAAAGATTTATTTTTTATGATCTGGTGTAGTGAGTGAGTATAACAGGAGGGGGCATTGGAACCGACAGGAAGCAGCTGTGCCAGTCACTTGGCCTTGTGCCAGCCAACTTTGGAGACAGAATTCCCTCCGGTCACAGATGCAGCCAACACCATGCCATGGATGAGAGAGGGATTCTGTACTTCTCGTGGCTAGAAAATGAAATTTGACATTTCAGAAATAAAAAAATCAAGGTTCCTCTTGCTGCTAGAAACTTTTAAATTGCCTCTAGATGGCGACATTGGCAAACCTGTCGGGCAAGCATTGGTACCCCACCGACAGCCAGCCCATTGCCTTGGAAGGGGTTCTTGTACTTAGTCTCACTCCTTCACAGAGCAGAATCAGGCCAGAGGGGACACTGTTTTCCCAAGCGACAGGGCTGATGCAGAGCCACTGTGTTCATCCCCTACTTCATTTCCTTGCTGACTTGCCGTCCTAAGGATGGCAGTAGAACCCCTTTGGAAGAGATTTAATGCTCTGAACAATAAAAAGCTCTTTTGCCTAGAGATTGAAACCTATGAAGGAGGAGATGAGCCCAGAGAGACTGAATCAAACCCAGGTAAGGAAAAGAAACCAGATTGTGCCCAGCATCTCCACAGCAGGATAGTGGATCCTGTGGAGACAAAATCGAGCGGAGTTATAATTTCCTCTTTTGAGCACGTAACAGGCAGCAAGTCAGAATACTCCCAGATACTTGTCCAAGTGGTGACAGCATGACCGGCAGCTTTCCTGAGTTAACAGCATGCGAGCCTGTGGCTCTGTCACACACGTACCCTCACCCTCTACACACAACACACAACCCGGCAGTCTCAACAGTGCGCTCAGTGGCTAGGGCCCTTGTCTGCCCTAGTGGCAGTTAGGACTGAGCTGCTCCCAATAAATCCATCAAGGCTTTGTCCCCAGACATTCCTCATAATAAACTGCCTATTGCATCTCTAGAAGCAAACGCATTGCTTAATGATGGGAGACAGTCTGAGAAATACATCATTAAGCAATTTCATCAGTGTATGCAGTTCATAGAGGGTATTTACACAAGCCCAGATGTTACAGCTTGGTCCATTCTTAAGCTCTGTTCAGGGACCACCTCCTGTATGCAGCTGTCATTGGCCCAAATGTTACTGAGCAGAGTGTGACTAATTGTACTTCCCTCCCTCCTGCCTTAAACATTCACAACACATACAGCACTGTCTCCTACATCCCCTCATTTTACCCTCCTAGGAGTTGGTAGGGTGGAACTTTTCTGGAAGGTACAGGAGTTGAAGTCTCAGGGCTATGGAGCTATCAGCAGCTACTGCAGCATGAGTTCAATCCCTGTCCAGGGAGGTGACCCACATGGCACAGCAGACCTCTCCTGTCTCACCAGTGTATTTCAGTCCATCTGCCTGTTCTGCTTTCCTACTCTGTCTCTGTTGAATCCTCTCACCCCCACCCCTGCCACCCCACAACTCTGGCCTATATCCCAGTTCTTGTATGTATAAATAAATAAATCTTTAAAAAAAAAAAAAGAGTCGGTGAGGTAATGGAAGCTCTTTGGCAGTGCATCTTTGTGGACAGAACACCAAGGTCCAGAGGAGTTTCAGTGATAGCCTTGTCTGAGGTCAGAGGTGAGAGGTCAGTGTCTGCATTACAAATAAACTCAAGACTGTTGACACCACACCGGTATCTTCTGTTGTCTCAGGCTGTACTAACTGGTAAGTGACATGTTCTTTGAGTTACAGTTTCATCTAAGAGCACCTTTCTACCATATCAGAAATGTATGTTTCTCAGTCTACCATAATTGTTGAGAAATGATCCATCTTAATGCAGAACAAATTCTAAAACCACTAACAGGGAACAAGAAGGAGTAATTGCAAGTGGAACTAGCCTTCTGTCCTGTCTCCCTCCTTCATCCATTTTCCTCTTTCTCTTCAAACTGTCCCACAGGCTACAGATTTCCAAGTGCACCCCCAGAGCTACACTGGCAGGGAATTCCATTCCTCCAGGCTAGACACGGGAGGAATGAAGTCGGTTGGGACAGTCTTAAATCCAAGGCATCGCTGTCCTCAGCCAAGAAGTGGCCCTGGTGTCGCAGCAAAGCTGAGGAGGAAGGCCTCGCCCACCAATTCCTGACAGGCCGAGATAAGGGCGGGTGTCCTCAGTGGGGCATTTGAAAGTGACTTGTCTGGGAACTGTCACTGTCTTTACCATGAAATCAGTTGAATGCTGTTACCTCAGCCTCATGACTAAAGACACAAGAATCCAACCACCCACCAAGATGTTTGACTACTCTGCCCTCTCCCCTTAAGAAGCAAAATAGGTAAAGAAAAGGACTTTCTTCTCCCTGGCTACATCACTGGGTCTATACCACAGCTGGTGTAAAGGACCCTTAAACTTAAGCTCCCTCCTATAATCATTTCTAGTGCCCAAGGGACCTCAATGAATAGTTTTTTCCCTATAAATAGGAAAATACTTTTTCCCTATAAATGGCATGTGGCGGGGACAGAAATTCAGGGTGGGGGGGTTCACTTCGGATTTTTTTCTTGTGTTTAAACCAAATTTTGCCAGCCCCAGCTCTGGGGCTCTGAGATCACAGAGGAGCAGAAGCCACCCTTTCAGTGCCAGAGTTCCCACCACCAGCTAGCTGGCTGATTTCCTCCAGGGTGTCCACCCCCACGTGCTCCCCAGCTTCAGAGCTAAACTTGACCCAGCTGCCAATCTCCAAAATAAAATCAATGTGTGACCTTATTCACCAGCTGTACCGAAAAAACTAGCAAAAGCGAAGGCCAACTTTGAAGCCAAAAAGGGAAGATGAGAAGTTGGGAGAGAGAGAAGGGGGGTGGGAAACTTGGCTGGACATGAAAGGTGTCTTGTCTGTTCCCCATTAGGCCCAATTCTCTTGCAATCTGCAGCCTCGACATAATTCTCTTGACCAGAAACTCTCTAGAGAGATAGTGTCAGAAGGAAAAACAAACAGAATAGCATCTCTGACAGCAAAGTCACTTAAAAACCTATTTGGGGATGGGTGGGAGCAAGACTAGTCAGCAGTAGGGGATTGCACCCCCTACAGGTTACTCATGGAGACTCGCTTACCCCAGACTGGACTAGGGGAGGAAGGTGAGCCCAGGGGAGGCTGGCATGCCCCAGACCAGCTCTGGGAAGCAGAACCCAAGTCCCAATGGGCTCTCTCATGCCTCCAGGTCCGTCTGTATGGTTTTCTCAACGATGTTCTGAACACAAAACCCACAGTATTGAGAGACTATTTGGAAGGATTGCTGTAGGAAAAAGTGGTCCCAACTTGTTCTAACTCCTATTTCCGCTATCAGCAAGCCAGAGACTGAGAACACAGCTGCCCTGTATGCTGGCACCTCAGGCGGCAAAGGGCTCTCTCTGAGTCCCTCTGACCTGCCTTTGAGCTAAGCCTCTCCTGTGGAGGAAGCCAGGCCCCAACCAGGAGCCCCTGGGCTAAGGATCCTGGGGTAGGGAGTGCAGTGCAATAGAGGGCAGCTTCAGCGCTCAAGTTTCTGGGGCAGGCGTCCTGTTCTAGGAGGGAACCTTTTTTTAAGGGAGAAAAACTAATCAGAAAAAAGGAGCAAGAGCTTTTCCCTGCCTCGGACTTGTTTATTACTCGGATATCTGATTTCAGCAGAGGAAGCCGGCACTGAAGCAAGGTTTTTATTGGCCGTGAGCAAGAGGAATTCAGGGTTTGCCTTTGATTTGGCTTCCCCAGAACATGAGGCACTGAAAAGTGTTGCTGCTTTGAAGGAGCAGCTCTGTACTCTGGGAGCCCCACGCTCCCCGTTTCTGCAGCCCCCAACTAAAATGCCCCTTGGAGGAAGAGGGTGGAGCAAGGGGTGCCTGAGTGGAAGGAACCTCACCAACATTTCAGCGAGGAAAGTAAGATGGGGGGAAAGTTTTAAAGTCCCAAAACTGGCTCCAGGGAGCACAAGTGAGGGTTGTGGTCAAGGCCCCCTCCCCTGAGCAAGGAGCTGGAGGAGGGAAGGTCTGTTTTGGATGAAAGCACAGTGTCTCCAGCCCTCCAGCCGACAGAGCTCGGCAGGCTGCAGTCGGCAGACCTGCCTGATGGTTTCAATGTGTGGGGAAGATAAAGCCAGAGATCTGCAGAGGCCGCCCAGCCTGCACTACTGCTCTGCTGAGGCTGGGCAGGGGCTGCTCTGGCAAGGGGCTTGCCAAGTGGGATGCAGGCCCAGGGCATGAATGCTACCCACCCTGGCTACCCACAGGCACCTTCACACACAAACAGCCACTGCTGGGGACCTGGAGCCCCAGCCAGCCTGATGTCACTCTAGGCCAGTGTAATCTTTCTGCCTCTGGCTGCCTTCCAAAGGGGTGGGGTATCCCCCCTAGAAAAAAAGGTGGTTGCCCCTCCACTGGGACATTCATTCATTCATCTCCCTCGCTCCCCTTTTCCTTCTCTATACCCTATTTCTTTTTTATTTTTGTTGATGTTTTTATTTATTTATTTATTTTGTAAGTTTTTTTTTTTTATGCAGACAAGAACTGGGGTACAGGCCAGAAGTGCAGGGGATATGAGGATTCACCAGAGACGGAATGGGGAGCAAAACAGGCAGATCCACTGAAATACACTGCTGAGGGGAGCAGCGGATGAGACGGGAGAGGTCTGCTGCACCATGTGGGTCAGCTCCCTGGATAGGGATTGAACTCATGCTGCAGTGGCTGCGGAAAGCTTCATAGTGCTGAAACTTAACCCCTTGTACCACCAATGAAGGCCCTTGTTGGCTTTTTTTTTTTTTAGATTTATTTTATTTATGCATCAGAACTGGGGTACAGGCTAGAGGTGCAGGGGTGAGAGGATTCACCAGAGACAGAGTGGGGAGCAGAACAGGCTGATTTACAAAGTACACTACTGAGGGGAGCAGCGGGCAGGTCAGGAGACGTCTGCCAAGCCATGGGGGTCACTTCCCGGTCGGGGATCGAACTCACACTGAAGTGGCTTTAGCTTCTTAG